CCACCCCGCACTTCCCCCGCCTTTTACAGGTTAACTCTTTCGGCGCTGCGCTGTGTCGCCCCCCTGTGGCGGCAGAGCGAGCTACTCACCTGGCCTCAGGTCGTCTCCTGGCGCGTGCCAAGCCTCGATGATGAGTGAGAAGGTACCCTGGAGGCCAAAGGAGGGGGCGGGGGAAGACAGAGAGAGCGCGAGATGAGCAAGGGGGGAGATGGGGGTGCCTTGCGGCAGCGGGTTTAATTAATCTAATTGCAGGATACAGTTACGGCTCCCGGGTCAACATAACGTGTCTGAGCGCCGCATCGCGCGACCAGGGAATATGAGAGGAGAACCCCCAGTGGGACAAGGGTTAGGAGATAGGGGAATGTTAGCGAGTCATTCGAAGGTGGGAAACGCGCCGGGGTAGTAGGTAATAAAAATCATCCCAAGAGTTGGGAGAAGAGAGGCCTTAGAACTGGGAAGAGGGAGCCTGGTGAGAGCTTTCCTGAGGATTAGGTCCCAGGAGAGAGTCGGAAGAAAGTATCAAAAGAGAGCGCCCTTTGTTTTTTGTTTTGTTTAGTTGGAAGCGAGGAAATCTGGGGAGAGGGCTTTGGGCCCAGGGAGCCCCCTTCACGTCTTTCGTGACCTCCCAGTGCTCCCAGGCTGTGCTCACCGGCCAGGTGAAATTGAAAGGGAGTTGAAGAGGGTTGCGTCCCCCGCCGCTACTATCGTCCCCGACGGCGAAGGAGTTGGTGCCCAACACAGGCGTCGAGACGCTGCCAAAGGTGCAGGGCCCGGGCGAGACGACCGCCTGGAAGTGCTTAAGGCAGACGCGGAAGAAGGTCCTGCAGCCGGGTTCGCACGGCCGCCCGCTAGCCAGTACGCCGCGCTCGTTGGCAAACTCCTGGAGCTGCAGCTGGAAGACTCCGGAGCCGGCTGCGCGCTATTGCACAGAGACCGAGGGAAGGAAGAAGGGGAGCGGTCAGCTCGGCAGACGCCCAGGGCTCAGGCTCAGGGAGCGGCGGGAGGGGGTGGAGGGGGCGCGGGACGTTACCTGCTGCCAAAGTGTCACCAGCAGCAGTAGCGCCCAGCTAAAGGCGCTACGGGACGCGGCTGCCATCCCCTGGAGCGTGGCTCTCTCCCCGCGCCCGCCCTGTAGCTGGCTTCGTTTGGGACGCCGCTTTCCCGCGCGTCTATCCGCCAGAGGGGTCCCTGAGAAGCCAGGCTCTTCTGGGGCTTTCCTCCCGCTTCGCCTTCTCGCTAGCTCTGCTCCAGCTGCGGCGGTAGGTAATCCAGGTGAGGGCGGCTGGGCGGTGGCCGGACTGAGGACGTGTCCTCGGGCTAATCCTGGGGCTGCAAGCGGGCAGCGCACTGAGGCGGTTCGAGCTGCGGCTCTTGGCCTCGTGTTTCCAGCTTGCGCTCTGAGCCGCTACTGAAACCTGCGCGCTCGGGAGCCTTCCTTATATATATTGGCTCCTCTCTTCGCCGCCTGTCACTCAGAACCCATGGTCACTCTCCCCTCCCCTCCGGGCCTCCAGCGCTACAGCCCCAGCACGGCCTGGAGGGGGCCTCCGCCCCCGCCATCCCCCGTCTCCGTCAGCCAGTCAAACACAGGTCCCCGCCCCTCAGTGGCGCTCTCAGCCCCTAGGTCCCCTAAGTCTGCGCGTGCCAAAGTGACCAGTTCTTCGCGACCAAGGGGTTACGGGTCGAGACCCCGGCGATGGGAGGAGGGGGAGGGCCTGGGGGAATGGGGCGGGAGGTGAGAGAGTGGTTCCCGGATGGTCTTGGAGGCGGAGACACTGGGGAGTCCCGGTAGGCGGTCTGTCAGCAGCCGGCGCTAGTTACCTTCAGCCTTTGAGCAGGTAAAAGAAACTTAAGCTCGCAAAGCGAAAATAGCACGGAAGGACTGGGATCTTCTTCTTCCCGGAGCTTCGGAAGCTGTAGTCTCCTCGGCCCGCAACCTGTGAGCGCCCACCCACCTCGCGTCCCCAGCGCAGCAGGGAAGCCAGCGGGCGCTTTAACCTCTCAGTGACCACACTGGCCAAGGCGAGGGACTTGAGTCTAAGACTGTGGGGCTCTCAGGGGCTCCCACCCTCCACCTGGTAGGCGTCTCCCTCCCTACTTGCGGGGGGCGTGTGCAGCGCGTGCCTTCTCCCTTCTGCCCCCAGCCTGGGTTCCACTGGTGCTAGCCCCTAGACGCGTGGTCCGGGAGATGAGGGAAGGGGGCGTGGTCCCCGAGGTCTGAGGGGGGG